CAAGTGATTCCTTTGATCATTCATTGAAACTTTAACTCTCAGAAACCAAATTGCATGTCTCAGTTACACAACTGAAACCGTTGGATAACTTTTTTTTTTTTAAAGATAACTTTCAATTTTTGAAAGCTGATATTGTCGTTGCTAATTCGTTAAAGCCTTTCTTTATCAAAACATAAAAACTGGGGGTGTGTCATTACCACACGAATAAGATGACTTTTCTCCTGTAAATCAATAGAGGTAATTTTGAAGCGTTTGGATTTGAATCATTCGACAATCCTCCTTACGAAGAGAAAGTGTTTTTACTTTGCCGGGACGGTGTAGCAGAGTCACTAAGAAGTAAACTCTATACTCTATTTCTTTTGTTACATAGCCTTTTTAGTTCAAAATCAATGTTTTAAATAACAGCAGCATAGATCATCACTTTTAATAATGTGGTGGCTCCTAAAAGAGCCGTTGTTTAGTTTTAAACTTGACGAGTTATCCTTCCTTGGCGGTCGCACGATCTGAAGGTCCGAGCATAGCTCTTCTCAATGCTTCCCCGAATAAAGCATTCTGCCGAACAAGCTGTGGGACTTGCTCTTCGAATGCTCTATTCGGAGAAGCATTGCTTTTTTGTGTCGTTTCTTGGGAATATTCTTGGGATTTCTAGTATTGCTGTTTGTTGTTTGACATGATGACTTCTGTATCAAACTGAGGTGATSACTTCTATAGCCGATCGCGATATAAACACGAGTCTMCCTGTTCAAGTGATGTCACTCAAAATGTTTACCCTGATATGACTCAAGGGAGTTCAATGCTGTGTCAATCATTTGCGTTTGACAGGTCTTTGTGTTTGGTCTAGCCAATCAGTGTTAGCGAAAATAAGTTAATGATGCATATCCTATAATGTATTCGTGAAATTATACCGATCTTTGAAAATCATTCAACTGTAAGTACATGTCGCATAGAACAATAGGATTCTGCCCGACGCTAGGCAGTTCCAGTCTTAGACATATCCTACTGAGAAAGTTCGCCCGCCTTCAGTCGATTTCTTAAAAGCAGGACAAATAAAATTAATCTTATTGAAATTTTCGTATGGCAGGACTTTTTTAGATTTAGATTCATAAGTTGATAGTTCTTTGCGGACTCTATGATCGCACAAATGCCGGCTAGTGAATCATTCTACAATGATACGCGGATATTTGTGACAAAAAGACAAAGAAAGACATCGATTTGTCATATTTTGTCGTTTTGGTGCTCTTAAAGACTCTCATTAAGTCGAGCAAAGTTCTTCAACAATCTCTCAGAKCATTTATTTCTTACTGCGCATGCTCGAAGCCAGATTCTGGATATGTCGCACATGCGCATTATCAGGTTTTAGCCGGAAGTTAAGCATGACGGACTGTCATGTACTGTAAATATTTACATTCAAATTAAACTATTTCATAAGATATTTTACTCCCAAAATAAATAACATCGAACCGCCAAATACGAGTTGTTGTTATAATATTTCTTCATACAATGAAGTTTTGTTTTTGGTTT